CAAGGAATCGTGCTTTTAAAGCGTTCCTGAGCTTACGCTCTGCAAGTGGACTTATTTATAAAAACTAAAATAAAGTTAGTAATGATACTGGAAGCGCATTCATTTTACTACTACTATTCGCTAAGATTTCGTTAAAAAGCGATAATTCCAAAGGAAATAATGCAGTTTCATAAGTCATAAATTCATAATTTAATTTTAAGCTATTTGAGACGTGTATAAGCGCCCTGGAAAGGGCCTAACTGCTGAATAAAAAGATTTAAACTTTTTTTTTAGATTTTTATAAATTGTAATTTTTTATAAACTCCCAGGTATCTAAACTACGGTGTTCAAAGTAGAAACAAACTAACTGGAAAATTGAAAAAATAGTGAACATTCCAGAATTGGGCACACCGCAATAGTCTCTAATACACGTCGTTCCCTGGAGACGGGAAGTTTGGTGTACGAATTGTTAGTGCACGGTATGGTTGCCAAAGTTTGTCTCTGTTGGATTTGCATTGTTTTATAGTATATTTTTATTTGGATACTCTGTTTATGTACTCAAATACAAATAAATGATCAATATCAGGCTGCGTTCATATTCATCATCGTCATCATCAACATGACCTTTTCCAACTTCATCATTATCATTTCAGCCACAGGACGTCCACTGCTGAACATAGGACTCTCCTAATGATGTTAACATCACTCGGTTGGTAGCGGCATGCATCCAGTGCCTTCCTGGCTCCTACTACCTTTATGAGGTCATCTTTCACCTTTCCAACTTATCAGAGGCAAAAATCATCTCGTTTCCATTCCCTTTAGCAACGTCACCTTCTACGAAGTAATTTTTTATTAAGAAACACCATAACAACTCTGACCTTCCAGTCCAGATGGCCATAAAAGATGTTTCGCATCAATTCGCAACACCTCAGCACTTTTATTCACTCTCGAATGCGATAAAGAAAACGCGAATTTCAAGGTGAACGTGCGTCGTCATGACAACCATTTCAAGTTATTATAAGTAGGTATTTTCCTTTTCCCTTTATTCCTTTATTGGGATGTTTAGGGCAGCCGATGGACGGTTTCTATTCAACTCATTTATTTAATAAGCAAGCCGATGCTCAGATATTTCTTGGGAATTATTTCTATACGTGATTTGGGAGGACTGAACTTGAAAAAAGTCCTATAATTTTGTTACAATAATGTTTGCTTGGTTTTTTTTTTTGGGATATAAAGATGCAAAGGGTCAGTGAACTCTTACATTCAATTCCTATGTTGAACAGACGACACGGTAAATGAAGTTAAGTTTAGCAACGGGACACCATGGTACTCGTAGGTCCGTTTTTGCAAGAAAATTGTAAGCTAATGCATTTTTTTTGCTAATGTATTGACGACAAAGATTTTTTCAGCATGTTTTCCAAAATTGATCAGTATATCATACCTAAGACCTGTACTAAAATAAGTCATTCTCATTAGCTCACGTCGCTTCTTGGGCATAAACCTTCTTCATAGACGCTGACCTTATCATTTCAGCAAAAAGGACATCTTTCGCTGAATATAGGCCTCCCCCAAGGTTTCCACATCGCTCGGTTGGTAGCGGCCTGCGTCCAGCACCTTCCTACTACCTTTATGAGGTCGTCGGTTCACTTTGTGGTTGGACCTTGTGGATAACGATGACCTCAGTCTCCTGCATGTTTTTTTGCATTTGCGGCAGCTTATTCTATAAAATTCAAAGTATGATAAAAAAATAAATAATTTAATATGACTTGTAATATCATGTCACATGTTTATATAGCAGACGACGTTTACGACCAATCTCTAACGTAAATCTACCACGCACCTATAAAAATATTTTACTGTCATATAAAAAAGAGCTAGGAATCAAACACCTAAAATTCTCTTAAAAGTATCTTTAAATGATGAAAAAATCTTGTTGGTAACTATTAGGTCGAAGCACACCAATCAACTCGGAAACGGATTGTCACCGTATCAACTCGAGGTCATAACTCTGTGCTATGACTTTTTTTTGGTTCATTTTAATTTATTTTTATATTTTTTTATCATAAAACAAATCAAAATAGTCTAGGACATCCTGTCTTAAATCATTCGACGTACAAAATCTCACAGATCCTTTTATGAGATTCGTATGCGAAATAAAATCCTCATCATCAACAGCCCTTTACAGTCCACTGCTGGACTATGAGCCTCCTCCACTATAGTGGAGGGTTTTGCCATAATCTCCACGCTTGGCAGGCGGGTTGGAGATTGCAGTTTAAAAGATTGATGTTTTTCAGAGAGCGCTGCTGCCCATTCTCTGTTTAATGTGTAGTCCCTAAGTCGCCTCTTACGACACCCGCGGGAAGAGTAGGGGTTGGTGACAAATGTATTCTGCTCTGCCGTCACCACACGGCTTTTTATTATTTTATTTTTATTTTTATTTCGCATTTTTATGCGAAATAAAATCCTAATGATTCAAAATACGTCTCCAAGAATATTATCATTTCGAATAAGAGCTGAAATATTGTTATAATAATACCTACATAATATTTTCTTTTCAGAACCCGCAAAATGGTTCTTGTAGCGCTTCGTAGTGCTATAAAGGTATTTTTAGGGAAACCTTGTTATTTAAAAAATAGATACTATAGTTTGCATTTATTATTACGAGGGGCGGCTGAAAAGTTTTGAGCCTAAGTATCTTCAAGTGTTATTATTGACTCGCACTAAATTTTATTAATTTGCCAATAACCTCCTTAGTATATGTACAAAGTTTCATTTTATTAGCATCATCACGCTTTTAGTAATTAATCCGTAAACATCATCATGTCTCAGTCATCCGCGCAATGTACGAAATTGAAGTACACAGTTGTCATAAAATGCCTCACAAAGAAGAACAAAACGCTGACGGTAATATTTAAAGAGATGTCAACAGTTTATGGGGAGTCTGGGCCTTCATTTTCCACCATGAAAGATTGAATCCGATATTTCAATCATGGCAGGGAGTCGCTAAAAGATGACCGCAAGTCAGGGCGGCCAGATTTCGCCATTAACGAATAAAATAATGAAAAGTTAAAGAATCTTGCTCTACAAAATTCCTGATAAGTGTTACCATAGGAGTCACTTAAAAAATAGGGATTGATGGTGAAAACGAGCATAACTATTTCAATGTGTTTAATCTTTATTTAAACTTAAAGAAGGTATAATGCTATACAGGGTGTTAGGTAAATGGGTATATGAGCCGACACTAGCCCATGTTAGCATGGGCATATAAATGGTATGGTGAAGTCAGAAATTTGATATCATAAATTTAATTTTTTTAATTTTCATGCAAAATTAATTTTATGAAATCCGTTTTGTATGAAAATTAAAATAATTAAAATGAAGATATCAATTTTCTGACTTCACCATACCATTTATATGCCCATGTTAACATGGGCTAGTGTCGGCTCATATACCCATTTACCTAACACCCTGTATATTAATTTACTGAGTGCAAAAAAGTCAATAGCCCAAAACCGTTGTACCTTTGTGAAGCGCGTCGAAGCGCACTGATTTTTATTGGGCATCGTTAAATTTTCATGCGCCAATTAATTTTGTGGTTAATTTTAAAGCCTACGTTGTACGGGATTTAATTTTAGGACAAGGTGGGCAGTAAAAATAATAGAGTTTCCAATGGGATCGAATTGTTCAGCGAACCAAACTTGATTTGAATACAAATTACTAATACAGTGGAAATAGATTGGTCATGAACTCGTCAGAAATGTTATTTTGTATCCTGACCTTTAACTGGTGTGGAAGGTCACTTAATGACCTCATGAAATCGTATTTTCGGTGCCAATCTTTATTTCTACGTTCTTATATTTAAAATTAGGGTGTCTAGAGTCTCAAAGACCCTGGATACTGGGTACACTTCTAACTATTGATCAGTTGTTAATATGAACAGATTCATATAAAAAATCATATCATACAAAAATTTAAAATGGGAAACATGTACCGAAGAAGCGGAAGATATTTTTAAAAGACTGCATTTTTTATTTTAAATTCCAAAAACGAGTTCTGTCCAAGTCAAATAAATCTTTTACAAACAATATTTTTTCTCTACATAACAGTCGTCCGTATGCGATTAAGCAAAAACACGTGTACAATGTACATCAAGCACGCTTAGGTAATTATGGATAAGGTAAACAAAAACAAAATGGCCGGCTATTGTTTAACCGTTTAACTAGATTGTTTTACGAGTGGAAATATAATGTGGAAAAATACACTGGGAGTGTTTGAGAGCTCTAAACGTTGTACTGTTACCTTAAACTGGGTACAAACTGCGTAATACGAACTAGTTTCTGTAAGGTCAATTGTGTTTTCTAAAGTTTTTAGGTAAACATTTTAAAGTTCGTACAAAATAACGCTAAAAATCGATTCAATCTCAGTCTTAAAATCTGTTGCAAGCACTTGGAAAAGAGGCTGCCAAGGTGACTGACAGTGAAGCAGAAAATTGAACGTACAGCGTTGAATCGAGCTATGTGATTGGTTCGTGTATTACCCTGTGCTTCCACGCGCACTGTGAGACCGCATAGTAATGTTTGTGAATACGGGCGTGAGTTTCTTGCTTTGCTTCGTTTCAGCACTAGATCTTTTACTGTCCCGAAGCAGTGGTAGGGTTAAAGTAGTACTGGGACGTGTAAAAGCGCTTTGTGAAAGCCTATTTGCAGAAAATAAATGACATAACCTGGTTTTACTAAATAAATAGATAATAAAGTTCTCACAATCATCATCATTTCAGCCATAGGACTGCTGCTGAAAATAGGCCTCCCCCAATGCTTTCCATGTTAAGCGATTGGTAATGGCCTGTGTCCAGCGCTTCCCTGCTACCTTTATGATGTCGTCGGTCCACCTCGTGGGTGGACGTCTCACGCTGCGTTTTCCGGTACGCGGCCTCCATTCCAGACCTTGTTGCCCCATCGGCCGTCAGTTCTGCGTACATGCAGTTCTATTGACTAGTTATTAATTAAAGCCTTTGTCCACAGCCGGAGCTATACAAGAACGAGCTGGTGCGCCAGTCGTCCACCGACAGCGCTGAGCTGGAGTTCTGCGGGAAGCTGCATTTCGCTCTCAAGTACGACCAGGAGGTGGAGGCTCTTGTTGTCAAGGTAAGACTTTTTTTTCAATTATAAATATGTAACTTGAAAAAATCGAACTGCCTAAGGCGGGAATTGAACCCACGACCTTCCGCTTGCTGGGCGACTGCTCTTCCAACTGAGCTACTTGACACAGGATAAACTCGTCGAAATTTTCTAACTATGCCTAATAACGTGGGCTCGATCTTAGCACAATTTACAATCTATATTTACAAAAGCGAGGTCACTGACTGACTCACTCACTCAGCACGAAATCTCAGAAACTACAAGTGCTAGGAGTGTAAAATTTTGCATGGGAGTCTCTTTTAGAACGTAAGTGCTCACAAAACGGGATCCACACGTACGAAGTCACGGGCGGCCGTGAGTACCACATAATTTTGTGTCGGTATGGTTACTTAGGAGTGAGATTATATCCGTTCTTGGATGCGGACAGCACAGAAACGGTTATAGAAATCCTTGGAAGAGGCCTTTGTCCAGCTGTGGACGGCATTTGACTGAAACGACGAAAGGTATAGCAGCGTCTAATTGCACAAAAGACGGGCCAATCCAACCAAACGTTAATTTATGTTAACAATCCACTGAACTGACAAGAGGCGTTGACAATTCGAATACGATAGCACAATCTCGCATGTTATGTCAACGATGAGCCGCTCCATTTCACGTATAATGAATTCTGGGAAATAATGTACGGTGACTGAGCTTTCGGAATTTTGCGAACTTTTCGTATGTTTGCCTTTTTTCTTATACCTACTGTGATCGATTTCTTTTGCCACTCCTCAGCCCCAAATATGTTGTCTCGAATTAGTGGTAGAGTTATACGTGTATAGAATGTGTCCTAGAAAGGGCTTACATACTATACTAATAAAGAATTTGAATTTGAACAAGATAGAAAGTGTATGAGACTCGTCTCCGTGAGCGATCTATGCAGTTTAGCTTGTTTCTACTGTTAATGAGTACTTTGTGCTCCTTGCTCGGACGATAACTACAATAAAGCTGATTCTGGTTTAGAGGAAATCTTTGATCAATGCATATTTTTTAAGCCACGATAGCCGAACGGTGAAGGGGTCGGACTAGCCGACTCGTGATCCGGGAACGCGGGTTAGGTCCCCGCTGCCGCTCGACCAGGCCACGGTAATACTATCTATACAGTATTCCAACTCGGCCATATTTTTGAAATAAATGTCAACAGCCCCGCGGTACGTCACGGTATGACAACTTGCGATAGGGCTGCTCACCTACAGTACCCATTCTAATTACATCTGTCTACTTAGAATTTCTATCTAGTTTTGTGATTGTAATTTCTTTTTATTTAGACAAACAAAATACTTTGTGAATGGAATAGGATAAAAATGCGTGTTGTTTTGTGTTAGTAGATTTAATTTAAAAAAATATACTAAAATAATTTTGAATCTACTAATCATAATGAGTACTTAATGATCTGTTACTTTAATTTCAGGCGGATGAAGTCGTGGGCAAAAGCTGGTTTAATACAATATAATTTTTATTTCAAATCAAACTGGCTGAAAATGACCATTTTTGACTGTTAATAACTTGTTTTTGACAAATTTGACCATTACGGTAGTCAAATTCAATCACCTTAGTCATTTTCAACACTAGCTAGGCCATCGACGTCCGTTCGGCACATTCGCGACACCCCTAAACCTAACTTTTGGATTTCAACCTAACTTTTGGATTTCAACCGGATTTCAACCCGAGATTTGAAATTCGAAGGAAAGCTCGCGTTTCGTCGGTTTATATGAAGTTATAATACTGTATGATATTATTACCGTGGCTCGACTATTGTGGTGAGGTCATTCGTGACACAAGCATATTTAGCTTAGTAGTAGGGGCTAACGGGTGTATTAGTAATTTGTGAAATAGCAAATTACAAATAATCTCTTAAAAAAATACTGTCATTAAACGAGTTGGTCACCGTATTTATTTTCCGATTTGTTGGCTTTACAAATAACGGCTTTAGTCAAGCGTGTAGATAACATATAAAACAATAATGGTTACCGCACAATGCCAGCATGCAATTACAATAATATGTGCCTTTTGTAATAACTTTGTTGCGTACATTACAATGTGGGCGACCAAAACCAGTTCACTTCTATCGTTTGTCTTATTATAAGAAACACTATAAAGTGTGATTCTAGAAGTACATAATATAAGTACTCGAAACAAAATCAACTTAAAAATATTTTATTCAATTTAAACCAGTACCTATTTCGGCACATATGAACGACAAAAATAAAAAAGGGGTAGTGGCACTTTACATGTCTCCTTATCTTTTGCCTTACCAGCGCTTCGAGACAAACATAAATGGCAAGCGCTGAGAAGAAACGCCGGAACAAAAGAAGTATAAGAAGACTACCTAAATATGTTTTTTAATTTTTTCTTGTATTTTATGTGTTGTTTATAATGGAGACATTTTGTTTTCATTAGTAAAGTAAATAGTGCGATGTAGCTTGACCTAGAGGCCAGAGGGGTCATTAGAGACAGCAGTCTTAATTATTGAGAGGTCCTTTTGTCTGGATAATATCCAGACAAAAGTACGTTATATTATAACCTTACAAAATAGTACGCACAATTTATGATCTCAATTTCATAAGATTACCTGTCATACAAGATCTCTTCTTCGAATTCTATGCTGAAGTTTACGGGAATTTAATCTTTAATCCCACTAAATATGTAATAGGTCGTACCTACTCCATGATATTGCAATCGATTGATAGCAATATCAAAGCGCTTTAAGAAGCCTAAGCAAAATATAATTGCTTTTATGACTTGTATTGGTTTTTTTTCGGAATGACTATGATGATAGCTTTCTCAGTTTCACCATTGCAAACAATAGGTGAGCGCAGATGGCTCTCAATCTCAATTTACTGAGTTTGATTGATCCTCAAATGATCCTAATTATGAGTCAGTGCCTGAGGTGAGTTTGTTATCTTATTATGATTAACGAAAAACATTTAATACTCTACTCACGATGGTACTTTCAGAAAAATCTCCTCATAAGCGAGGATTATTAGATTCTCTTGTTGATTTTCCGCTAACTTTAGATTGCTTTCAAACTTTTATACAAGTTCAGTTTCGTACATCGCCTGTGTAACGCGGCAAAGCGTCCAGCTTTTGGGTCAATCGTAACAAAAAAAACTACCAGCACTACTAAATAAAGTACCCACCAATGAGATTGAAAAAAAAAAACCAAATAAATCAATGTGGAATAACAATCTATTCCTAGTTGTGACAGTGCCTTCAATAGCCATTTTCCTACGAATCAAGCGTGGAAAAACGGCACAACAGCTTTTGTGACTAAAATTATAGCAAAAGAGACTAACCAAAAATTAGATAACGCAATCTATCACAAAATGACTAAGCCCGTTATCACCATCAATCCCTTATGAAAACAAAATTCCTGATAAGTGTTACCATAGGAGTCACTTAAAAAATAGGGATTGATGGTGAAAACGAGCATAACTATTTCAATGTGTTTAATCTTTATTTAAACTTAAAGAAGGTATAATGCTATACAGGGTGTTAGGTAAATGGGTATATGAGCCGACACTAGCCCATGTTAGCATGGGCATATAAATGGTATGGTGAAGTCAGAAATTTGATATCATAAATTTAATTTTTTTAATTTTCATGCAAAATTAATTTTATGAAATCCGTTTTGTATGAAAATTAAAATAATTAAAATGAAGATATCAATTTTCTGACTTCACCATACCATTTATATGCCCATGTTAACATGGGCTAGTGTCGGCTCATATACCCATTTACCTAACACCCTGTATAGCATTATACCTTCTTTAAGTTTAAATAAAGATTAAACACATTGAAATAGTTATGCTCGTTTTCACCATCAATCCCTATTTTTTAAGTGACTCCTATGGTAACACTTATCAGGAATTTTGTTTTCATAAGGGATTGATGGTGATAACGGGCTTAGTCATTTTGTGATAGATTGCGTTATCTAATTTTTGGTTAGTCTCTTTTGCTATAATTTTAGTCACAAAAGCTGTTGTGCCGTTTTTCCACGCTTGATTCGTAGGAAAATGGCTATTGAAGGCACTGTCACAACTAGGAATAGATTGTTATTCCACATTGATTTATTTGGTTTTTTTTTTTCAATCTCATTGGTGGGTACTTTATTTAGTAGTGCTGGTAGTTTTTTTTGTTACGATTGACCCAAAAGCTGGACGCTTTGCCGCGTTACACAGGCGATGTACGAAACTGAACTTGTATAAAAGTTTGAAAGCAATCTAAAGTTAGCGGAAAATCAACAAGAGAATCTAATAATCCTCGCTTATGAGGAGATTTTTCTGAAAGTACCATCGTGAGTAGAGTATTAAATGTTTTTCGTTAATCATAATAAGATAACAAACTCACCTCAGGCACTGACTCATAATTAGGATCATTTGAGGATCAATCAAACTCAGTAAATTGAGATTGAGAGCCATCTGCGCTCACCTATTGTTTGCAATGGTGAAACTGAGAAAGCTATCATCATAGTCATTCCGAAAAAAAACCAATACAAGTCATAAAAGCAATTATATTTTGCTTAGGCTTCTTAAAGCGCTTTGATATTGCTATCAATCGATTGCAATATCATGGAGTAGGTACGAGGGGCGGCTGAAAAGTTTTGAGCCTAAGGTATTAAAAATGCCGATAGAAAAGTATAAAAAATATATTTTTCTATTTAATCTCCCTCTACTACAACGCACTTCTTACATTTGTGTAAAAGAGCTTTTAACCCACTGAAAAAAAATTCGCAAACTTTGCCTTCGAAATGATCCTCTAACGACGCCTTCATTTCTTTGTCACTCAAAAATCTTCGTTCCTGGAGGTCCTTTTTCCAAATTGAGAATTAGAAAAAAAAACTAAGGATTTGGACTAAACTGTGTGGTAGGTGATTAATTTCTTGAAATCCAGTTTTACCCGGGGCAAGTCTTGCAACATGCGCGGTGTGCACGGGCGAATTGTCTGGCAATAACAGATTTCATTTCGCCAGTTTACCTCTTATTATTTCGACAACCACTTGACGCACTCTTATCAACAGTACAGTAAAATAATCCCCGTTTATTGTAGGTAGTCAATGAATAAAATTCCTCCACAATCCCAAAAATAGTGGCTATGAGCTTGGGTGTCGATCGCTCCACTTTGAATTTCCGCGGCGGCGTTTTCCCTTTTCAATCCATTGCATTGACTCTTGTTTTGACTCTAAGGCAGCTCCCCGGGGGTGCTCAAACGGCTCAGTAGATTAGTGTCGTGACTCTTTGTGGGTGCAGATGTGGCAACCAATGCCTTCAGCGCGCTTGTCAACTGCTGAATGGGCCCTTCAGTGCCGTCAGTAACTGGCGGCGGTGGAAACAGATAGCCTTTGTTATTTCCATCGTTGTTAGCTTTCTGTCCCTCTAATTCACGCTGACTGCGCTCCATCCATTCTTTCACGTTGCTGCCATCGTATCTACTCTCGCTTTCGTCACATCTTGATGAACATGAACTATACTGTTCCTCCACAGCAGCCAAATCAGCCTCCAGCTTTTTCTGGACCAATTCCATTTGTATGCGAGCCATTTCCTTTGCCGCTTCCAATTCCAATTTCTTCTGTTGAGCTTTTATCGCGGACGACGCCATCTTTGATTTTGATTTGTGCGACGACTTTACCGAAGATTTTTGTAACGTGCTGGGTTTTACATTTTCCTCTTTGACCCCGCTTGTTCCAGGTTCGATCACATTCTCTTTTCCTTGTTCGTCGCCCTGCTCACCGATGTTAGTACCATTGTTGGGGCATTCATTATTTCGTGCACTGCGAGTTTTGACCATTGTCGTAGACGTACACCGCGGCGGCGTGCGGAACATTTAGATCCGACTCGATGGACCAATGTTGGCGGTGGAAGTCTTGCAGTTCATAAATGAAAAGCCGTTTCTTCAAAAGGACTGTATTTGTTCAACATAAAAACCAAGACGAAAGTTCCATGACCCCTTGACAGCTTACAAGTCAAAAAAACATATTTTATTTTTAAATCTAGGGCTAACACCATAAAGATTAATCAAGGAGTTTAACTAACTAACACTATAAAGGTTGTTGCTAATCGCGTCGCTAACAATTAATTTGATGGAAACCAATTTAATTACATGTTCTGATGATGTAATGCTTTTTAGCTTATTAATGTCGTTGCTATGGGATTTTCTGCTTCACTTAAGCAAGCATCGTTTATGAATACGGGTGTTACAATCTGTACTACATATTATTATAAAGCTGAAGAGTTTGTATGTTTAAACTGTTGTAAAAATGCTTAAACGCGCTAATCTTAGGAACTACTGGTCCGATTTAATTTTTTTATTATGTTGGATAGTCTATTTATCGAAGAAGGCTTTAGGCTACATCATCTTACTATAGCAAATAGGGGTGGAGCAATAAAGAAAAATGTTGTAAAAAGGGAATTGATACTATTTTTACGCGTACGAAGATGCTGCTGCCTGTTAGGTACTTCAACACTAGCGACCCGCCCCGGCTTCGCACGAGTGCAAAGCTGATATGCATGTATTATACGTGTAAGCCTTATAACGGTATCGATGTAGCCAATGAGATGCTGTCATAGTGACATTGACGTAATGTCAATGTCACACGAGCAAACGTGAGAATAGTGGGACGCGCGGTGACGACTCCCCGGGCTTTTGTGCTAAGTGATGAATTGTATTTAAATTAAGGACATAAAATGCGAATGTTGAGTATTGTTTTATTTATGGAAATGGATCTACCTACCGGCTTTTAATAATACATACTTAGGGACAGACAGCAGAAAGCGACTTTGTTTTATGCAGTGATTCTTCGTACTTCGATCATCGTCTATTTTACTCCAAAGTTTTATATTAATTTGGCTATTCTTTACACAGTGATTAAACATAGTCTAGGAAGTTTTGCTATCACGGTTCTGTTATTCCTGAAAGTAATCGGAAACTTTGGATCAATAATTGATTAGTTTGAAGTTTCTACTAAGAATCCTTATAAAATACTTAGGTAGGTATTTTTTAACAGACGTGATATTTAAACCAGATTTTAGTTAGAAATTCTGCACAGATTCTATGATTTAAGGTTGGTATGTATTCATAGTCTTGTGTAATGTAAGAAAACCTCGCATATTTCACTTTCTTTCTAACTTAATAGAACATGTTAATATTACATTTACGAAAAAATATTTTGACGTTAGAATTTTAAAGTGAGTTAGTCTAGACTATTTTAAATTACAAATTCAGTTCACCATTAATATTAATGAATCGTTACCAAATTAATTTTGAAGTTATACATCCTAGTCATAAATCAGGAATGAATTCAAGACTTCTATTTATGTTCTTAAAAATCATCATCATCATTATCTCAGCCATAGGACGTCCACTGCTGAACATAGGCCTCCCCCAATGCTTTCCATGTTGCCCGGTTGGTAGCGGCCTGCGTCCAGCACCTTCCTGCTACCTTTATGATGTCGTCGGTCCACCTTGTGGGTGGACGTCTCAATACAAAATTCACTCTAGTATTGTGTTTATCACATCGAGGTGGATCGACGACTCCTAAAGGTAGCAGGAAGGAGCTGAATGCAGACCGCTGCCAACGTTTATTTATTATTTGTGAACGTTGGCGATGTGAAAATCATTGGGGAAGGCCTATGTTCAGCAGTGGACGTTCCGTGGCTGAAATGATGATGATTTTACTCCTAACAACTCAAATAAATTCTTGTTACTTAAAGATGTTATAACTAGACCTTTTTAACTCTCATCAGTTTAATTGAAAAGAATTCCTGTTTGCCAAGATTCTATCACAGTTTCTTAGTACTTTTGTCGTATTTTGCGCCTAAATCGTCTATCGGCTCCAGGATCGGTACACGATCCCATCCCATTCGATTTACATTTAAATTCATCCTTCGTTGCCAAACTTCATGAAACTTCGTGGATTGCGAAGGATTTTTTCTATATTGGGGGAATAACTTAAATGGTCTTTTAAGTAGGCCTTATAAACCACTAAAACTCTGATTTATGTGTGCAGGGAATATTTGTGTAACAATAATGAAATATTTTTCCGTTGTACGACCTGTAATCCCCCTACCAGTACGATCATTTAATTTTAATGCGACATAGGCATAACATCGATGACACAATAAGATCAGCTTAACGCCCAGATTCTTATATATTTCTTTTCGGGCAAGTTTGCAATATCTTTCCAGAATGAAAACTTGTGTCACAGTGCGGTCGTACTTTGAAAGTCATGTAGGTACTTAAACAAAATGCGTCTAGTTCATAGCAGTCTTTGCGATGGGAACGAATAGTGTACAAATAGCCGTGGGTTCCGACAGAGTTTCTACCATATCCCCAATTTTTCAGTGACAGTATACTACTACTGAGGGAGAAATATGCGTACACCTTAATTTAACCGTGACTATAGCCCTATTCCGGGTTATTGTGTCGAGTTTGACAGACTTTTGGGACCATGACCTGATGATTCTAATGATGATTGGCAATGACAATGTACAAATAAAAGCTTATTAGCTAGATTTCTCAGTATATTTTTGTTACAGCGTGCCATACGAGGAGCTGCGGCAACGTTACCTCCAATTCTCCGTGTATGACTTCGATCGGTTCAGCCGCCACGACCTGATCGGTCACGTGGTGCTCAAGGGACTCCTGGAGTCCGCAGACCTGCACCAGGAGATCGAGTATACGATGAACATCCTTGCTCCACCTCAGGTATCTATTATCTATTCGTATAATGTAAAAAAAGCGAAAGACCACTCACTCATCACGAAATCGCAGAAACTGCAAGTGCTAGGAGTCTTAAATTTTGCATGGGGTTTCTTCTAGAATGTAGGTGCTCACTAAGGTGGGATTTTGCAAAATTCAACCCCTAAGCCCTAAGGGGGTAAAACGGGGTCCACGTTTACGAAGTCGCGGGCGGCCTCTAGTTTTTAATAAAAAACACACCATTGCTGATAGGAATGTTTATTTTTTATGTCATATGTTCAAATAGCTGTGAGGCATTAGAAATTCATTGCAAAGGGGAGGGAAGGTAGTATAATTAGTTAGATTTAGCTTAGGTATTGCTTAAGCACATCTTTACCCCTTTCTCTATTTGTTGACAATGTTTTGCAATGTATACTCAATGTTCTACCTGGGTGTGATGGAAAAACAAATATTTTCGCTACTGATAAAAACAACCCATTTTACATTAAGGAGCGATAAAAGTTACCGATAAATAAATCCTGCCTATAATTCAATGCCAAAAGAAAACCGCTAAATCATTCTAAATAAGTTAATTCCTTAACCCTTAATAGCTCTCCCATATTTTATAGCCTGATTCCATTGACCCTAAACTGTCGAATACGCATTGTACCCGTATCCGGGCACGGGTCATTTATCAGCTGTCCCGGGCAATATTGCTCTTTCTTGTCCTACGTTCCCTTAAGGACCTTCGGGAGCATTTCAAGGCCTCGCACCTTTGTCAGAGGTTATAATATTTAAGAAGCTCAACTCTTATCAGAAACACCCAAGGAGAATTAAATAGAGTAGGGAAAAGTTTTGTCATGAGGATATAGAGGAAATAAAATGTAATGGGAATAAACATATGGGGCAGATAACCCACGGGGTAATTCCGAAATTATACAGTAGGTACTTACAATAGAATTTTTAGTGGCTTTCGCAAAAATGCATACCCAATATTCAAATGTGTTTAGCTGAACAACTGTTTTTTTTAATAATTATTTTTTAAAACGAAAACTGTAGGTGTAAAAAAGAATACTATTTTGTCAGATTCAACATCTGTTACCAGTTTTTTTTTTTTTTCATTTTATTTATCACTTAGTTAGCAAGTCACTTTTCGAGCTGATTGGCTGTTGTACTCAGGCTACTCAAGGGTCACCTCGATTGAGAGTTTACGTGGATATTAATATTAATTTAGACTTTAGTTTGCTATGGACCATGGATTAATATGATGTTAACAGTTGAAATAATTGTCAACACAATATTTCTGTTTCATTATTGTAAATTGAACCAACTTTTCATTTTGACTTTACTCCCTTTAGATCCCGGTTTCGATGAAAATAGTTATTATGTATTCTCGTATGTTTAACAATGTATAAAGAACGCTATATCACAAGATTCACGTTATGGCTGAGTTGCACCATCTTAACTTTGACGGTAACTATGTATAAAACTTTAACTGGGGTTTTTGTATGGAGTTTAACGTTTGTTATAGTTAAAGATGGTGCAACCCAGGCTAAAGAGGCTAGGTTGCATGGTTGCCAAAATCGAAAAATAAATAAAAATAGCACTACATAATACCACCACGATCTATACTACCTTCAATTTAGATTTAAAAACATCCCTCAACGGCAAAACTTTTGATTGTAGGTCATTAATCTACATTTATTCTGGACTAGGCTTTGATCTAGATTTTGAAAGAAATACGATAAGGTTACTACTTTTTATTAAACCAGTCAATAAGGTTGCTTCAGGGATCACGTTAGAGAGGAATATGTCGTATTATAGATCGTGTCATCCACGAAGACGCGCCCCACCAATTTTTGGTCGAGGGAAGCGCAGGATGATGGGAGTTTGCAATCCGAGCGTCATTATTGTAGTGTGCGAGTGCATTCATGTAATTTAGCATGTTTCTCTAGGAACTAGAAACAATATGAACTAGTAGAAGTGCAAAGTGCTGATGGAATTAAGATTCAAAGAAAAAGAAGAGAGTGATGAAAGATAGACCGTGTATTTTCAGAAAGAGAAGTGAAGTGACAGATATAAACAAACAGTATTAAAAGCCACATTCAAATACCTATAGCTATCAAAACATAGAATGTATGTACAGCCAGTTCTGGTTAGGTACTTAAAAAGCAGGTTTTTACAGTTTCAAACATTAACAGAAGAATGGTGAGGCGCGTCTTCGTGGATGGTACTATTATATGACTGATTCGGTATGTTTGTTCTATAGGAGAAGAAAGACCTTGGAGAGCTGATGCTGTCACTCTGCTACTTGCCGACAGCAGGCAGACTGACGGTGACCGTCATCAAGGGCAGGAACCTCAAGGCCATGGACATCAATGGGTCCTCAGGTTGGTGATATGACTTATATTTAATCACTAGGCTGAGTGATTAAATTTTAGCCGTAATTATAACGATAACCGGTGTTTTTAGGATGGAGTTTGACAGATTTTTGACGTCTGTTATAGTTAAAGTATCCGGGAATTTTCAAGGCGAGAGTGAATAGGCACTTACAGGGCAGATATGTACCATCCTAGACTGCATCCCACTTAAGATCAGGTACGATTGTGGTCAAATAACTGCCTTGTTGTGCATAAAAAAAAAGTAAGAATGCCACCCAGCCTAAGGCTGCGTTTCTACCAGAGATGTGCGAGGATGCGTACTGCGTAGCGAGGGATGTGTTTCCACAAGAACAAGAACCAATAGAAACGCTTAATTTACCGAGGCGAGGTATCCTCGCACATCTCTATTGGAAATGCAGCCTAAGGGGCAATAAAATTTTATGATGCAATAAAAATCAACAGCCTCAGGCGAGATTTGAAGCCACCATTTTTCAATTGATGGACAACGTGAAGGTTGCAGGAAGTAGCTCAACGCATGGCCGGTCGTTACGGAAATCTTTGGAGGCGGCCTTTGTCCAGCAGTGGATGTCATAAGGCTGAAAATCTTAACTCGGTTTCAAATACAATACTAGTATGTTCTTTATACCCGTAATTAAAATAAGATTGAAATTCGTACTAATTTAGACTCGTCTTGTACGTATGAAATTCAAATTTCCTCCCTTGGTGATTGTAACGCTCCCGCTCCCAGTAATCTTGGGTATTGTCTCCCCACCTGATTAAGGGAGGCTTTCATTTCGTCTACCAAGTACATTGACCTTCTTCTTTGTCTGGTATATTTGTTGATTAATCTCTTTAAACGCGATAGTATAATTTTTCTGCCTCTGGCAAATTAGAAGGGTCATACTTGCTGCCTTTAGTGGTGACTGAGTTTGTTGCGGCGCTTCTTCTCAGCACTTGCCAAATGTTTGTCTCGAAGCGCTGGTAGGGCAAAAAAAGAATGAGACATGTATAGGCTCCTTAAGAGCATTTGACGATTTCAAGTACTAATTTAATTAGTCTAAACAAATAAAGATAATTTTGATTTTGATTTTGATCTTGGGCTTCCTAATTTAGGAAAGTATTTAGTGACGTGATATGATGATGATATTAAAAATTTAATTTGAAATGTCATTCTCAGTTACATTTGAATGGGTAATTTTGGGCTTTGTTCTACTAAATTGGCGGAAGAAAATGATAATTTCTTTGGGCAGCCTAACTCCTCTGAGCCATAGCCGTGTGTTTTAAAATCTGACTTTTAGAGCTGCTCTCAAAGTCTCATAAATTGTTATAAATAGCTTGAAAAATCGAAATGCTTCAGGTGGGAATCGAACCCACGACTTTTCGCTTGCCGGGCGAATGCTCTTCCATCTGAGCTACCTAGACACTGGATGACATTTTCAAGTGTAATACGCTGTTGCGATCGCGTTTGTTTCATTAATGCTGGGTATCGACTCCCGCCTTAGGCAGTTCGATTTTTTTAAGTTATTTATAATTTAGTTTGAGAAGCGACTTTAATCGTTAAGAAATTTTAATAAACACTAGCTGACCCGGCGAAATTCGTACCGCCTTAGCGTAGAGATTTTCTTTATATTTTTTCCGTAAAAACCTTGTACAGAGTATTAGAAAACTACAAAAAAATCAGCCAAATCGGTCAAGCCGTTTTCATGTTATGTCGTGACAACGGAAAACGGGTTTCATTTTTACTATAGATTAAATTGTTGTCTAGATCCGTACGTGAAGATCTGCCTCATCTGCCAAGGCAAGCGCATCAAGAAGAAGAAGACGACCGTCAAGAAGAACACCCTCAGTCCGGTGTACAACGAGGCGCTGGTCTTCGACCTGCCGGCTGACAACGTGTTTGACGTCACGCTGCTTGTCAAAGTCATCGATTATGACAGGTGAGTTTAGTTCTTAGAGCCAAAGCATGTAGCGGGGCAGTGTATCTGTGGCGTGCACATGAGCGGTGAACGTCGCGTGATATCAGGCCTGTTCATCTCCGCGAGTTTACATCGAAAACAAAACAAGCACTATGGCACCCTACAGGATTACTATTCGACAAGGCCTCACTCACATACGAGCGAGCATTGAGTGTATGATGGAATAAAATTAATATTCATGATAATTCATGCTTAATCATGTATTTCCTCCGCCATTTTCTGCAGTTTGGCACCTCACGTCACACATCATTTTACCAAAGTCTATCCTATGGCTTCGGCGCAGGACCGATCACTGACGTTTGTCAACAAAATGGTGCTTGACTTGAGACAATCTAAATTACACTATGTCGTTTATGACATTGAGCATACATTTTTTTAAATACCTTCGCGAAGTAAACCTTCTATACGTAATAATTATAATTATTCTGTGGTGATACGCGAAATCTTTGCGGTGCGGCGCCGCAACGCATTTGTGTGCAAAGCACAGGCTTTCAGGCCTTTTATCAAGACCATAATTCAAATGATCATTTCTTTAATAGCTAAAACGAATAGAGGCGGAGCAGTAAAAAAAATGTTACAAAAAAGGGAAATATTATTCAAACAATTTTCACGTGAACGAAGTCACGGGCACAGGTAGTTGTCATATTATTAAAAACTCAATCTTTAAATTCAACAAATCAACCGCCTCAACAAAGTTTGCTTGATATTAAATCGAATTTTATGTTCTCTAATACGCCCTTAAAAGTTTTTGGGCAAGTTAAGTAGGTATGTCTTGTACAGTTGCTTAGGTAGTAAAATATACATTTAGTCTTATTCTGAAGGCTGTATTTTCTATTAGAATATATTTTGGTTTAATAATAGCAACTTAAACAATAACCCGCTTTCTTGGAAGTGCCATTTAGTTTGATAACTTTATCACGTGGTGAGTATCGAACTAGATATTGAGTCGCCCACGCAAAACTCGAGTTATTTAATTTTAACAGTGGAATGTTCAATTTGTATCGTCGCCCTATTTAAGATAGAATAATCAAAGGATGATGGGCATATTGGGCGTTAAACCAACAGAAACAAAAAGTATACTAAATTAAAGCTTAATACTAGTACTTTTCATTTCATAGTATGACAACAATCCTGAAATACGCGGGGATACGGAGATAGAGGTCGTTGAATATGCAAAGTTTCCATAGTATTTCACATCACATTAGGGTAATAAAAATAGTATTAGGTCAATTAGATTAAGCAATCTAATTGATATATCGATAAAAGCTTATCGATATATTGAGAGTATTGTATCATATCTTAATATCGATTCTATCGATTTAGTAAGTATGTATACCGAATAAATCATAATCGATTATTCAATTGCAATAATAATAATCGATTATATTGCTGAAAATAAGGAATTGAATTAACAATCAAAAATAATAGTAATGATGGTAATCAATAAAATCGATTAATCGAATTGTTAATCGATAAATCGTTATTTGGCAATGTCGATTAATAATCGATCCGTGATCGATTATGCGACAACACTACAACTTAACTGGGAGAAATCCCATTGAAACATGACTGTGTTCATGTCATTTCTCTAAACGGTACCTAGGTATGGTCCTACGCTTATAATGTAGAACATGGTTTAAATATACCATTTGTTGGCCCCACTCCTGAACTGTTGGACATAATAATGGATAAATAACTTATAATGTATTTAAAATGTAAGTAGATAAGTATATTAATTAAAAATATTTTTTGTTTGTGCAATACAGCATCTATTAGGCTCCTTTTCAGCCAAATGACGTCCACTGCTGGACAAAGGCCTCCCCCAAGGTTTTCCACAATCTATTACTATTACACATTATGTAAATTTCCAAGCAAACCCGGGAGTTTTTGATAGTTATTTATATGAAAATACATTTCTGATATTAAGTCCTAACAAATAATAGTAGTTACATTTCTGTTGGTTTTACGCCCAGATTCCATAGAAAAGTGCCCATCATCCTTTGAAACGCCCGTTTTCACAAACGATACTGCTTAACTGAAGCAGCAAATCGAACGCACAGCGTTGAATAGAGCTCTGTGTGTCAGCCTGTTCGCCCACGCGCACTGTGAGACCTCATTGTAACGTTTGTGAATACGGGCGTAAGTCATTAACGACGTAACTCGAATTGTTTACAGAATTCATTGTTTACGAGGGTAGTTCAAATAGAGTGGGCGATGACCTGATTCAATAGCTTTGATACAGTAATAACGGCTATAAATAACTTAAATTAAAGATAGATTACATAATTTGATTTGATTAAATTCTAATGTTTTATGAACGCTTACTGCTGAAAGTAATTAAAACATGGATCAAATTTTACAGAGCGTCAAAGGGCACAAGAGAGCTTAATGCTATACGCTATGGTCCAATATTATAAAGCAAAGTTATTTATTTCCAATAAATTGATAACCTAGAGTGGTCTCGAGTACAGTTAAATGTAGTGCACTGTGAAGTAAGACATACCTTTGCGCGATTGATTGCCACCCCTAAAATTGACAGCTCGTACTCTTAGCTCGATTCTATATTTTTTCCTAACCACCTTTTTTCCTCAAGGATCGGACCCAACGAGCTGATCGGCTGCACAGCCATCGGTTCCACTCTGATCGGCATCGGCCGCGACCATTGGCTAGAGATGCTGGACAACCCTCGCAAACCAGTCGCCCAGTGGTACCCGCTGAACAAAAGCCCCCCTGCCAATGTCACGCTGCCAAACAATACCCAGCAGAACTCCGGGCTCAGTTGTCTAAATGGAAGGTAAGATTAATCCTAAAGTCCGGTCGCCGAGCACGTAGAATTTCGTCCAATGAACCCAAGCTGACTGTCCATCATAACGATCGTCAGAGACCAGGGCCTGATAAAACAATAATCAATCAAACTGTTAATTTTTTCATTTCAGAGTTTGACGCCCGTATTCACAAACGATGCTTGCTTAAGTGAAGCAGCAAATGGAACGCACAACGTTGAATAGAGCTCTGTAATTGGTTTGTGTGCCACCCTGTGCGTCCACGCGTACTGTGAGACCTCATAGTAATGTTTCTGAATACGGGCGTGAGAGTAAAATAATGGAACCGTTCGTAAAACTGGGTCATGTGAAATCTTTTTATTTCTTAGCTAAACCATCCTTAGTGAACGTAACAGTACGTGGGAGTTATTTTCGGAGGGCTTCTTTTCTTCTAATTTAGCAGATTACAACCGCTATTCTTGGCTTTAGGGCGTTCTATAAACTTTTTATCCTCTTAACTTTTAACCTTAAATGTTAATTGTTAAATCCGTAATCTCTTCACTAAATTCTGGGTCATGTTAATCCATCTTTGGAAGGTTTCACCTGCGTTTTATTAACCAAATGAGGCTGGTGTTTGAGTTTGTAATTTCCTTCGCAAAATTAATTAATAAACCCGTTGACTTTAGAGCTGATTTAAAAGTTTACCTTAGTGTTAGAATGACAATTTTATTTTATGAGCAGCACTTTATAATTTTTTAAGGTCAACGTGATTTATGAAAGCTGAAAATCTTTTCTAATTGAATTTTTAGTAAGCCTATTCACTACAGAAAATACTGTAAATATAATTATAGGTATACGCTTAACTTAGAGCTTGAGGTACGAAGGAGCACGGGAGGGGTGACATTGACATAGTAATGTGACAGAACATTTGTCGGCCGTTTGGTGTAGTGGTTCAGAACGGACTACTATGCCGAGAGGTCCCGGGTTCGATTCCCGGCCGGGCAGAAATTGAAATGATGAATTTTAATTTCTGTGACGGGTCTGGGTGTGACTATGTATAATATTTATGTATTTAAAAAAAAAAAGAAGTATATAAGTAGTATATCCGTTAAGCTAGCACCCATAACACAAGCATTAAGTTGCTTACTTTGGGGCTAGCTGGCGCTGTGAGAAATTGTCCAAAGATTTATTATTATTATAATCTGAAGATCTGAAGTCTCGCTGACGTTTGACGTTACAAAAACTCCCTCCCGTGCCGCTCCCATACCTCAGTACCTCTAGTAGGAAAAACTTTCGAGTTCGTTTCGTTGCGTATTCAAAGTGTCATCGAAAAATTTTGTATGAAAAATTAAACAGCGCCCCCTGGGGCGGCTATAATATAGGGGGCGCTGTTTAATTTTTCATACAAAATTTTTCGATGACACTTTGAATACGCAACGAAACGAACTCGAAAGTTTTTCCTACTAGAGGTACACGTAGTGACTGAGTAAAGAGCTAGACCAGTGTGCTTACCATGAGTTTACGTTAGGTGTGCTCGCTAGCCGTGTGGTGACGGCAGAGTAGAATACATTTGTCACCAACCCCTACTCTTCCCGCGGGTATCGTAAGAGGCGACTTAGGGACTACACATCAAACAGAGAATGGGCAGCAGCGCTCTCTGAAAAACATCAATCTTTTAAACTGCGATCTCCAACCCGCCTGCCAAGCGTGGAGATTATGGCAAAACCCTCCACTATAGTGGAGGAGGCTCATAGTCCAGCAGTGGACTGTAAAGGGCTGTTGATGATGATGATGTGCTCGCTAGCGACTGCGTAAAAAAAATACATTACTTGTATGACATATTGTTCAGCGCCCCTAGCGGCTACTTTCAAGAAACAAAATCTTCATAGAGATTTTTGACGTACTCGCTAGCGAGCAAACTTATCATAAACTCATGGTAGGTACACTGTAGTAAGAACTTTAGACTTACACTGTATCGTTCTTTTCAGATGAAGGGAACTTAACCAAACGACTGACATTAAGATCCTGAAGATAAGATGGCGGCAGACATTAGAGAGATTGAATAGCAATGAGTAGATAGCTCATCTCGCGATGCCAAACGTTTAGGTATAATGGTTGTATGTCCATTTATAGTAGATACTGAATGTCAAGTGATAATGGATGTAGAGAGATAGATTTAGACATGTCTGTATAAGTAGAAAAAGAATTTAAAGCTTGAAATGTTACTGGATTAGTTCACCAAATATCGAAAGATTAGTAGCCGTAGACCCTTGATATTTATATTTAGATATAAGTTGTCACGAATCATTGCCATTCCCTTCTACACTTTTATACGTCTGTATTAATTACGTTCCACTTCTAGTCGTATCTGACTTAGTTAGAACCTTGACTGTATACTATTACTTCTATACATATTTATACAATGTTTATATATTATCTAAACGCACATTTCAAATTTAAGACTTGAACGCGTCATGTACATACATTATTATATTGAAATATCGTGAATGTTGTATATTCGTGGTCTTTTAAAGTAGTTGTTAAGATAATTATGGATATTGACTTAAGTCGTTTATTATATTTAGATAAACTTTATCTTCAAAGGAATATCATATCAAATATACTTGATATCACTTGTAATGATAATAATATTGTTTCCAATATTGCACAATACTAACTATATTAAAATTTGTTGAAAAATGGAGCGTTTACTATTTCAGTGTCGGACAATAATGTAGATGGAATATATTCATGAAAGAAGTTAAATCTGCATTTTCAATGAAAAAAAGATATTTTAATAAAATTATGCACAGTAAAACAACTTTGTTATGTATATGACAGTTTATGTAAGATGAAATCGAAGCTTTAAATCGTGTTAAAAATTAATATTGTATTGTAAAAAAAATATTTGTCGTAATCTACTCAAATGAAGACAATTTTAAAAATAAGATTGTTGAAATATCATTTTAATACTTGTAGTCTATTTATTTTGTCAAAAATGTAAACAAATAAACAATAATTAACATTCCCCTAAAATTGCAATGCAGACAAGATATGCATACAAACATTGTGTTGGGATTAATTGGAATTATTTGAGTTCTTAACTAAACTTAGATTTTACTGTAAATAAACCCTCCTCAGAATTAACTCCTTAGTCCTTTTTCTGACGTTGTATTAGTTTCTTGATAACTTCGCTAAATTGAATTTAAAAATACATATACCTGCTAGGTTAAATTTGAATATGACTTACTTGTTTTTATTCCCAATCATATTTGTTTATACTTTTGACACAAAATAGCAAAAAAGACGTAAGTATTACTTTAAAAAATCTATTATTCTCAAGATACTAACTGAATGTTGTCAAATCTTTTTAAATAAAACTATACATTTTAAGAATATAAAATATTACAGAATTTTACGATAAATCCTTGTTACAAGACACAGAAAATGTGAAATAATGTTTTTCGATATTAATCTGGAAATCACAAAGGGTGATTTCTTTTTAGAAATAATGAAGCAGTAAATGTAAAAAAAATGTTTTTAGTAATAATAAAACTTGTTACAGCATTTCTTATTATATTAACTCCACTATTGATTTTATATACTCTCATATAATAAACTATAAAAATATAAATATAACTCTACTGGTAAATATATTCTTGACATTATACTCATTGATAAATTTTTACTACGAATTATTATTTGAGAATGTAATTTAAAATTATATCATTATTGTTCAAAAAGAATGAATGAATCATTACTTTTGACTGAACAACTATTGCTAAGTTTAATGATGACTGACAGATCGTATTGGTGTTTTTCAGTGAATGGAAAATAACATGGAATAACGAACGATTATAGGTTTTAAAAGCCTTTGTATGTGAGGCAATTAAAATAAATCTCGCGCTGTATTACCATTGCATGATACGTTTAAATGCAAGCAAAATGATACATCTATACTATACTAATAATATAAAGCTGAAGAGTTTTTTGTTTGCTTAAACTCTCTCAGGAACGACTGGTCCGATTTGTAAAATTCTTTCAGTGTTAGATAGCTCATTTATCAAGAAGACTATGGGCTACATATCATTACTAGCCCAAAGTAACTATTCCACGCAGTCTAAGTCGCGGGCAGTAGCTAGGGTAATGTATATTTATGTTTTTTTTCTTGAGATAGGAACTTGTCGTTCTTTTTGTCGTCTTGAACTGGTTCGAGTCCCGCCTTAGGCAGTTCGATTTTTCTAGTTGTTTATTTAAAACTTGTCTTGACATTGCAAAATGTCTGATACTTTCCATCATTTCAGTGATGTTTATACTAGATCTGTTTTGAAGGAAGGTAGGAATATTATTCTATGTTAATTTCCTTCACTGTGTGTTGCTATGTACTTCCTAACATACTTTGTGGTAGATCTACACTACACTACTATGTATTTCTATTTCTAAGTGTGGATTGGGATGTATTTAAAGATTTTCCTCATGTTATTATTTATGTTTGTTTAGAGTTTCAATGATTTTCAGTTGGCATTTCAAATTCTAAGTTAATTAATGATATTTTGCTTAGTTAATTTGTTTTAAAAATCTTCATTGTAACGTGTTAGTGATCAATTAAATGTAAAAATCTGTTATAAAGGCACAAATATTTGCTACTCAGTCTTTGATTCGTTATGATATTACTTTTCGATGCAATGTTTTCTTTCATTTCTGAAGTTGGACTGAACGGTTTTTATTATTTTTATAGTAAGTTTTTTGCTCTATTTTACGACACAAAACGGTTTTTCAATTGATTTCAGTCCAATTTTCGAAGGATTGTAAATGTTTTTTGACTTTTTATTTTTTTATTTCATACATAAATTGCTTAATATCACTGATACCTTTTGTATGTACGAGTAAGAGTATATGTATGTATGTTGGTAAATTAGAAAGTAGTACGAATCTCAGTATCATTCCAAATTTGAGAGGTTAATGACAGTACAAGTTGTTTGCATGAGATGTAATATTTTTGTATGGGACTAGGATACTGGTCGTACCTAAATACT